TCAGATGTTGGGGGACCACTAGTGGTTTGTGGGTTTGTCACAAAATAAAAATGCTCAGAATTCAGTAGTAGGCCCTTAATAAATAATGTAGCAAGTTTCCAAGGTTCCATCATATCCTCAAAGGGAGGAGAACAGCACTGTAAACCTCTTTAATTTGGAAAAGGGAATTTGGATTGGCCATAGTTTATTTTTCCCTTTTAACACATATAATGACCTTTAAAATGTGTAAGGATAAGGGCAAATACAGCTACTCTTGGCAATTTTTGAACATAGAAAATGCTTTTTCTGACATTGTAACCCACCAAAACCAAATAATTCTTAGGACTGGGGAGGGCAGGAAGTGGAAACCCTCCTGAAAAGAACAGAATTATCACCACCACCAGTGAGAAAATGTTCATTGGTGTGGGAAAAGTATTCACATTGTTGCAACTGCTGAAAATTTTTGTCGAGCTTACTATTAAACCACAACTGAATTTAAAATAAATGCTATAATCTACAAGTGAATGACTGCAGAAAATGCAGAAAGATGGAATCCATAAATGCCAGGTCAGTTTGTAAGCCCACCATAATAGACTTCTGTTCTCCAGAAAATACTTTTTAAAAATACATGTGGAATTTTGGGGAGGTGGCTGAGGAGAGGGGAAAGAAAGCTAGAGGAAGGGTGGGTGAGCAGAGAAGAAAAGAAACAGTATATTAAAGAAGCAGACTGGAACCATGAGTCATATGAGAATTGCAACTGAAGAGCTAAACAGTATTTTATGTATCTGGATCGGTTAAGTGTTGATGCCATTAGAATCTATTTTATAGGAGACATGTTTTCCTTTTCTATGTATTGACCTTCAAAGGGTCATTGTAGGAAAACAGTGGAGGAAAGAAACTGTTTTCCTTGGTTTTTCTTCTTCATTTTTGAGATAACTCAAGCACTCAGAATTTAGGCTATTGCAGGGATGTTTAAGATCATCCCCATATATTCAGTTTGATTAGGTTTAATAGTGCCAGGTATATTCAGTGGTAAAGTAAATATTTCCCAAACACTGCTTTCATGCAAGTAATCCGGGTGCTTCTACTGGGTAATGTGTAAAGTTTTTCTCTGGCCAAGAGTTCAGAGCCAAATGGGGTTTTGCCAGCTGAAACAGAAGAAAGGAAACAACTGTGGTGATTGCTGTTACAGCAGTGAACACATTACCACATCTGGGCTAGTAAAATTAAAAAAAAAAAAAAAGGGAAACTCCCTCTCTTGGAGACAATTATATCTCTTTAAGAGAACCTTTTCATTGTGCTTTTTGTTAAAACGGTGTAACCCTTCTTAGAAACATTTAGCTTCAATATGCAGATATCTCCATGCTAGTCTTTAAAGTGAAAGAAAAAGATACTGGCAGAAGTGACAGTGTTTTTAGAAATCTTTATTCAGATTTTGATCTTTAGGCCTCTACACAATCCTGTCTAAAATATAGGTGAAATCCTAAAGTGAATTTCAGTCTTTAAGCTTGGATTGTGTTCATCATTTTAAAGTGCTACCAGGAAAATACCCCAAGCAATTGATTGGTAAAATGTTTGGTGAAGTGTTATTCCTCTACAATGATAGCTAGGGTAGGTAGGAGAAGCCCCTAAATCCCACCATTAGGTGTTTTGAATTTCTGCCATTCCCCTAGTCTGCTCCAGAGAGGAGACAGAGAAGAAGTCTGGGTGACTCTGGCTCTAAAGAACAAAGGACAAATACAGTCAACACATTCCATAACGTTTACATTTCCTTTGCTTTTTTCCCTTGTTTTTTTTTTTTTTCCTGAGAAGGAGTGACCTGGGCAAAGCACCCTGCTCTCTAAAAGACACTGTATAGACCTTTTAGAAGTGCAAAGTCCAAGGCCGAGGTGAACTTCAGGTCAGCGCGTCTAACAAATATGAAAATGTCGGCTGGTGAAGGGCGCGCCTTGTGATTTAACAAAGACTGTCAATGTGTAAGATTAATAAGAAACAAAATGCACACGGTGTCACTGTTCGGTCACTTTGAAACTTGGGACAGGGTTGCATTCAAGAGGGAAGACTGTTCCAAATATATTCAAAATGATTCAAATCAGATTCAAACCAAGCTGCAAACACTGCCTCCCTCTCGCCCTCCCTCCTTCTCAGCCTCCCCTCGCTCTCTTTCTCCATCTGGGATGTGAGGACAAGATGAAAAGTTATTTCACCTAATGAGATTTTAAGAAAGCTTTTGTTGGGAATATGTTATCCTTCCACGTGGAAATGAGCAAATGTGCTTACCAGTTTCCCAAGGACAGGATAGCATTTTCACCGTGCTTGGGACTAGAGCCAGTTGGTGGGTGAAGATGAGCCTGCTCCCTCTCTGCTTGATTTGAAAGCATCCCATCTATTTTCAAGCAAGATGCTTCTGGTAAACTTCAGTTTTGGTTTTTTTTTTTTTTTTTTTTCTTCATTGAGTTAGTATCTTCCTAGTTTTTGTTTGGTGTCCTGGATCTTACATGGAGGCAAGAGATCTTTTTTTAAAGGTGTCTTTCAAAAAGATTATTTGATTCAGCAGAATTATGCTACGGCTTGCAAAGGGAGATTGTGGAAGGTTCAGAAAAGGTACTGAGATTGTTTATTATAGCCATAAATCTTGCAGTAAAATGTCAAAATGTCGGTGTGTGAGATAACACTTGGTGGTCCTGGCTCCATTTGTGTTTATGATAGGAACCGCAAAGACAAGTTACAGGCCTTGAGGGAATTCTGTGTAAGTCCATCTTCCTAAAGTAATAGAACCGCACAAAACACAGGCACAGTTAACTCATTTAGTTTAACTGTATACAAAACAGTGCCTGTGTCTCCTTAATACTTAAAAAAAAATAGAAGCTCCGTAGAAGGTTCTGAGGCTGAACAACATGGATGTCGTGTTTCAGGGTCTGTAAATATTAAACAGACACAATTAAGACTCTAGTGCTCAAAGCTGATGACACAAAGAGTGCAAGGTTCCCTTGTCAGGCTTTCTCCCCCGCCCCCAAGCTTAGAGAGTCCAAATTTCTAATATTGCTATATATGTATATATTGTTATACTCTATGTACGTACTATTTTCTTGCTTGGAAGATGTACACATTGGTTTAGGCAGTTGTACTGCAGACTAGATCCCTCCCTCCGTCTTGGAAGGATGTCTAAAGATTACAGTCAGTGTTCATTTCTGTCTAACTCAGATTTCATTAAAAACAAAATTTTTTCCAGAGGGCCCCACCTCAACGGACAGCACTCTTCACATACACCCAATATGGAAAACCTCTTTGTACCACTTCAGGGCAATTACAGATTCTAGTCAGAAAGCTAACATGATCCCTTTTTTAACCTCTTTTCCTAAATTAGTTTAAAGATTAGTCCCATATAATAGGCTTTATGTGGCTAAGCATTAAATGACTATCTATCAAATGGATATATTCCAGCATTTAGTAATTCATACAAGTAACCGATATAAATGAAGATAGAATTGACATTCTTTTTGAAGTGTCCTCAGGCTTGGGCTATAACTTTCCTTGTCTGCATTCCAGACTCAGTTGTGAGAAACCTGTTTATACTGCTCTTTCAGAAATCAATGAAGGTGCACCAGCTGAAATATCCTTGTTTTGTATGCCAATGTGAAAGTCATTTTTAGAATGGTAATTAGGTTGGTTTGTACTGCTTTAATCTAGCCTGAAAAGAGGATGTAGGTATGTTTATAAGTCAGACAAGGGAAGCTACACATTAACAATAAGGTATCAGTATTTACTTCAAAGATCAACATTAGCTGGAATGAATAAGTTATTTGTTAATAATGGCATAATTAGTTTACCCATCAAATTTCAATTACCAAACGGCAGGCAACAGTTCCCTTTCCCTCCTTTCCGGAACTATTGATATCCTTTATATGCTAATTTTCAGCAATTCAGAAATTATAGACTGTCCTGTAAATCCAACTCTAGCCCCAGATACACTTTCGGAAAGTATCGTCCAGAAGAGAAATCAAAATTCGTAGTTTCCAAAGATCTGTCCACGATCAGACTCGATAAGGGCTTGCTGGGGGATTGTTCCAAAATAGGAAGTTACGGGCTCCAAAGCTCGGGTCTTTTTGGGGGGTGGGGTGGGGGGAGGCGCTACTTCCTAGCATTTCCATCCTTGGGCCACAGTCTCTCTCGCAGTCGCACCTAGTAAAAACAGACATTTAGTTCTCGTGGCCACACTTGTCAAACTAGATGCTATTAGTAAGGTTCCAAAAAACATTGTAGGAAAAATCCCCAGTGGGTCTCCAAAAGAATAAAAAAGGAAAAACAAAAACAAACAAACAAACAAAAAAAAAAACCAGAAAGCGTCCATCACCGTTGGGACGGCCCTGCTCCGCATCCTTGTGCAGAATTCTCTAAGCTGCACTCCCACCTCCCCACTGCGGCTCCTTCCGTACTTCTCAAGCAAGCACTGGAGCAGACAGGACGCAGTGTGTGGGGAAGGAATCAACGGGTGAGAAAACGGGTGTGTCTGAGCAATCGTTTTATTCCGGGACCAGGATAAAAGGCGGGATGTCCCCTGGTCTCGCTGCCCTGCCCTCCGCCAGTAGGCCTCGAACACCGAGTACGCGCGGTCAGCGCCGAGCCGCAGCCGCCTGGCCTCTCAGGGGTAGGTCGAGGGAGGACGTGCTAGGGCCCGAGGGGACCCACCGCCGGCCAAGCCCCGAATTCTCAGCAAGAATTCGAGGCGCTGGGTCCGGGGGAGCGCAGCGCCACCTCACTGCCCCCGCCTCGGCCGGGACAGTGACATCCATCACCCACCCGCGCGTTTCCTGATCCGGGTCCGCGCGCGCGGAGCGCCCATTGGTGAGGGCGATGCACGTGGGGCGGGGCGGGGCGCGCGCGGGGCCTCAGCGAGACGCGCGCGCACGCGCGCAGGCGGGGGAGGAGCGCCTCGAACTTTGGTGGTGGCGTCGGCGGGAGGGGGAGGGGAGGGCACTTGACAGCGGGGGAGGGGAAGGGCGCAGAGGAAAGGGGGGATGGGAAGCGAGCGAGAGGGGGAGGGGCCTCCGCGAGCCCAGAAAAACGACAACGCGAGAAAAATTAGTATTTTTGCACTTCACAAATTAATGACCATGAGCTCGTTTTTGATAAACTCCAACTACATCGAGCCCAAGTTCCCTCCCTTCGAGGAGTACGCGCAGCACAGCGGCCCGGGCGGCGGAGACGGAGGCCCGGGCGGGGGGCCCGGCTACCAGCCCCCCGCACCCGCGACCCAGCACCTGCCGCCGCCGCAGCCCCAGCTCCCTCACGCAGGCGGCAGCCGCGAGCCCCCCGCCTCCT